GCAACAAGCAGCTGAACCTGAGTTCGGTAACAATCCCAGTGACTTAGGGAAGAAAATAGCAAATGACTAAGGCTTCCCAAAGGACTAAGTGCCTGTTAATACAGCAGGAGCAAGTATTCCATTCAGGGAATGAAGTCTCCTGGGGAAATACTAATAGGGAAAGAGGACATACCACATTTACTAGACTAGCCCACACGTCCACGTTCTTGTTCCTGTTCATGAGCTGAAACATTGCTCAAGGAACAGGGAGGGGTAGGTGGACAAGAGCACCTCCCACTGCACCTTTCTAAAGCCTTGTCACTTGGAAAAGGATATTATTAAGAGGGCATTTCACCAGTAAGGAAATTATATTTACTGAGGAAAAAGAGATATGCAAATATAATTATTTGCCAGAAATATGATTCTGCTAAAAGCAAAATGTCAAAAAATCTTTTACTTTTCCATGAGGATATCTTCATTGTTCAGCAGGCTGAAGAAACAAAAGAATGAGTGGCAACGTCAGACTTAATTTTGAACAGATGATGTGCTATGGAGAATAAGCAATTACATGGTGAGGGATGGGTCCTGGCTGTGGGATCCCAGCCTCTCCAGTCACAGAGGACATGGGCAAGCCCAGTAGAAGCCCCTGGAAGTTAAGAATCTGGGGTGTGTCAATGTGGTTTGAAGTCAGTCTTTAAGGAATGTAACAGAACAACAATTTATGGTTGTTTCTGGGAAAACCAAAGTAAACTTACGTTCTTTAAAAAAGAATATCTTTTCCAGCTCTGTAAGAACAGTAGCTAAAAGGAATTGTCATGTATTTGCACATCACTGGCACTCTTAAGTCCACACGCCTCTGTGCATAGATCTGATTTCTCATACTTGTCCCCCCAGAGAAACCCCAGGGTTCCTAGGGGAGTAGCTGATCCAAGACCATTGGCAACAGAAAATTCAAAATGAGCAAAAAACATCCTATTGCTGCTGAAAAGCAAGGGATCTTTTCAAGCATATTGGGGGTAATGCTAAAGAATTTAGGGGCAACGTAATAAAATGCCTTTTGACTGAGTTGTGATGATTTGATCAGAATGAATGGAAGTAAGGGTTTTTAAAAATCCTTGAAAATTCAAGAAAAGTTAATATAAAGGGTACAGTAACTCAAATAGAAAAGAAAGGAAAATATGATGGGATATGTTTATTTTATTGATTTTAATAAAAGGAGTATTTATATGTGGGTATATAGGTTTTGTTATTAAGCTTATATTTAGAAAATGTAGACATGCACTTTTATTCTGTGTTAGTAGGAAGCAAGTGAGCAAAATGGACATGGGAAATGTAGACACCAGACAAGAATTTCCAGTGAGTACACTAGACAATCAGTTATGTTTGTAATTCTCTGCTTTGTTAGTAAGTTCATTTGTCTCATTTTTTTAGATTCCACATATAAGTGATATCATGTAATGTTTGTCTTTCTCTGTCTGACTTAATTCACTTAGAATGATGATCTCTAGGTCCATTCATGTTGCTGCAAATGGCATTATTTCATTCTTTTTTATGGCTGAGTAGTGTTCCGTTGTATATATATAGACCATATCTTCTTTATCCAGTCATCTGTCAATGGACATTTAGGTTGACTCCAGAATCCAGAATATTCTCTCTTTTTTTGATATAATAAATATCCTTGATAAAAATTAACTTTCTCAGATCTTAACACTGTAGAGCACAATCAGTGTCTAAATCCAGTTTACTGCAAATAAAGAATGAATTTGCTAAATTCCTCAAGATGTTCAGGTGAGTCTCAGTTTTTGATGTTTACTGTCATTTGACTGCAGAAAAACACTTGGTAAAGTCAGGCTGTGCCCAGGGGAGATTGTTCAATCAAAGGGCTTTAGAAGCAGACTTTGTGGGATACACTACCCACAAGCGTGGACTCCACTGACTCAACACTCAGACCACTAAGAATCAATCCATCTCTCAGAGTTGTGGTGACACTGTGAGGGCTGGAAAGACTCAAGCATAAAACTGGAGTGAGAATGCATTTATAATGAAAACTATAGGGAGGGAGGGTGTAGCTCAGTGGTAGAGCACATGCCTAGCAAGCACAAGGTCCTGGGTTCAATTCCCAGTACCACCATTAAAAAGAAAAAAAACTGTAACTGCCAGGTGTACAAGATGACTAGACTCTTGCTTTTAAGTTTTTGGGGGACTGGTGGGCAGAAGAAGTCTTCCTCTGGAAGTAAACATGATAGGAGACTAAATCATATTCTGAAGTTGGCTTGATGAGCTGGGAATCATAAAAGGGATGTGTCTTATAATGACCACTTGTTTGGTGTCAGCCATATATGAGATGCTTTGCAAACATATATTTCACTTAATAGCATCACAGCCTCATCACTACCACCCAGACCTGCCACCATCACCTCACACTGAAATTGTCCCAGTTGACCTATTGGTGGTCTACAGTGATCTCCCTCAGACCTTATCTCTTTTCACTTTCCTTTGTGTTCACTTGACTCCGGCCTTCTTGGCATCCCTGAAATTCCTCAGATATGCCAGGAATGTTCCTCTGCTCTAGCTGCTCCCTCTGTGTGGAGTGTTTTCCCTCCAGTCATCCACTTGCAAACTCCCTTACCACCTTCAGTGCATTACTCCGATACCACTTCTCAGTAAGGATGCCCTGACTGTTCAAATTAAAACCGCACCATGCCCTTCCTCCAGAGCCCTCTCAACTCCTTATCCCTTGTTTTAAGTTTTCTTCATTTTTCATTTCTGTCTATTCCCAGTACCTGATTTCTGTCTGATTTCTATCACACTACGTCATTTACTTGTTTATTGTGTTTAATGCTGACTGTCTGTGATATCAGGCAGGGATCTTTGTTTTGTTTTGGGACATATCCTAACTGTCCAGAAAAAGTGCCAGGCACCCAGCAGGTGCTAAGTAAGTATCCGTATGATGAATGGTTTATCTGACAGTGAAGGCACCACCTTGACAACTGAGACTTGGCAGGTCAGATGATCTGTTCAAGAACACCGCTTACCCAGAGACTTCATAGATGAGTAATGGAGATGTTTTCTAATTTTGCCTCCTTTTTCATTTTGCTTCCATAGCCGATCAGTTCCTTTCTTTCCTTATGTGGAGAAGACTCTTTCAATACGTAACAGCCAATCCTGTCATATCCAGAGCTAATATTTTTATGGTGATTCTGCTTAACTCTGTCTTCTGTTGAGAGTGGTTTTTGAGGGGCTGGGGGATTTCATCGTGCCCTAGAGATGACCAATATTCTATGCCCATAAACCATTAAACACACCAAATTTCCAATTATCATCTTCAAACTCAAGTTTCCTGACACCTAGAAATGTAGCCCTAATTATGTGAGCCAAAGAAATTTCCTCTCTTTCTCTTTATTTTTTTCCCAAGCTGGTTTGATCTGAGTTTTATTTCTTTTGCAACTAAGAGTCTTGAATACTAAAAAATGTTCCACAATAGAATCACCCCTCTCATTTTACTCAATTACAGCTTAAGTCAATGCATAAAATAATGCCTCGATTCTCTGGAATAAGAAAGGAAAATCAATTATGTTTGAGTTTTTTCTTTTTTCTCCTCCTTCTCTCTTTCCTTTCCTTCCTCCCGTTCCTCTAGCTTCTGTCTTTATTTCAGAAGTTTTTTAAACTGGCTGCATCCACCACATAAGAAGGCAGAAAAGTGGATATTATGAGAAGATATTCAGTGTCTATGGTTATAACAACACATTTTCTGATATTTTTCCATTGTGAAGAAAATTAAAGAAAGCAGTACTCCCATTTCCCAAATGCCCTGCTACGTAGCTAACAGATTTTATGAGCAAATAGAGAATCATTCCAAAAGATCTCTTTTAATGAAATGCTGTTTATAGCAACATGGATGGACCTAGAGATGATCATACTAAGACAAGTAAGTCAGAGAAAGACAAATATCATGTGGTATCACTTATACGTGGAATCTAAAAAAAATTGATACAAATGAGCTTATTTACAAACCAGAAACAGATTCATAGACATAGAAAACAAACTATGATTACCAAAGGGGAAAGGGGATGGGGGAGGGATAAATTAGGAGTTTGGGATTAGCAGATTCACCCTACTGTATATAAAATAGATAAACAACAAAGACCTAGTGTATAGCACAGGGAACTACATTCAATATCTTGTAATAACTTACAATCAAAAAATAAATAAAAGGAAAAGAAAAAAAGATCTCTTTTTGCCATTTTGCCTCTTACCATTTGTGTTACTTGCTCAGATTACTTGACTTTTCAGAAACTTAGTTTACTGAGCTGGAAGTGAGGGTCATGATCCTAACTGTTATGATCCCAAAGAGTAATTATATATATATATATAAAAATGTAATAAGACAATGTATGTGAACTCCCTGGTCCAGATAGACACTCAATAAGTGGTACCTGTTTTTATATTATTGCTATCACTTTACTGTAGCCCACTATTTTTAGAATCAGGTGGGAGAATGATGTAAAAAAGTGTCCTTATTCAGTCTTTAAGAATAGCTAAGGAAAGTAGGACATTGCTAAGTAAGCAAGAAATGTGTGTCTCTGTTTCATGCCTACATTAGCAATAATTATGTGCAAAATTACGTCTCTTTGATGGTAGCCTCCACGTTTTCTAGCCTTGTACCAATCATTTTCTGTTTCTCCTGTTTTAAAGATTCTGTCTGAATGATAAAACCGGTGAGGTGTATCAGCAGAAGGGAAGAGTCCTAAGGGAGAGAATGTTCTTTCCTCCTATGCAGATTCAGTGTGCCTCTTCCACCTCAGAACAAACTGAGCTTTCCTGGGCTAGCTGCACATCTGACTGCAGACATTGTCCCTGAAGCTAGATTTTTATTTTATTTTTTACCAGTAAGGATAATGACATCTATTTCTGTTAGGCCATTGCCTTTTAAAATACTTGCATATATATATATATTTTTTTTTTCTTGTGGCCTAAAACCCTTAAGTATGCAAAGTATGCACCCAGGAAGGGTGGGAAGATGTTGAAGGAAGATTAAGAAGAAAACAGGGCATGAGTCTGTTTTATCATCTTTTCCTGGGCAAAGCTCTGTTGTGGTGGGTTTTTTTTCTTCCAGTGACTGATTAAATGTTCGTGCCTGTGGCAATGGGGATCCTTAAAAATAACCAAATATTGTAAAGCACTGAGTTTTTCATAACCATACAGCGTGGTCTCAAATTAATCTTTTATTTTTCTCATAATAGGTATCAGCACAAAAATAGCGTCTGACATCAGCACAGTGCTGTAGGCTTCACAAAGTGCTTTCATGTGCATGATCTCCATCCTAACAAAACAGTGATGGAGGCAGTGTCTGCATGCATCTCCCTGTCTGTTTTCAAGTCATACAAGGTGAGGCTTCATGTATTTAGGTATTTTGCCAAAGGTTACACAACTTGGAAGGGACTTATTTGGGAGACATCTAGGGGCCTAAGTGCAGTGCATTGGGGGCTATACCAGATTTCAAGGGTTGCTTTCTTTCATTAGATACTCCTTTTTTTGTTTTAAAGCATCAGATTTGAATATTTTCTTTGTGCTAAGAAAGTCTTCTTCTGGAATGAATGCTGGAGAACTCCTTTGTTTCCATTCAGATGAAAGACAGAAGCAATTTACTTTCCTCTCAGATCTGGCTCCTACGAGATGCTGATTCGCCTCATCATCTTTTTATAAGACGAGAGTGGCTATCTGGGAAGGATCGATAGTTCACTGATCTCACACTCACTCCAACTAAAACCCTCACTTAAGCAATGCACAGTTGGGGCGAGAGGCTGTGCAGCAAATCCAGCATGTTCGTAGGGCATGTGTTTTAGAGCATCTGTGGGTCGGGAAGTTTTTTGAGAATTTTCCTGTCCTAAATTATTATTTCTTTGCATTTTATAATTGATGTATAGTCAGTTTATAACATTGTGTCAATTTCTGGTGTACAGCATAATGTTTCAATTATACACATGCATATATATATATATATATATATATATATATATATATATATTCCTTTTCATGTTCTTTATCATTATAGGTAACTACAAGATACCAAATATATTCCCTGTGCTATACAGTAAGACCATGTTGTTTATTTTATATATAGTAGGTTGTATCTGCTAATCCAAAACTCCTAATTTATCTGTCCCCTGCTTCCCCTTTGGTAACTACGGGTTTGTTTTCTATGTCTGTGAGTCTGTTTCTGTTTGTAAATAAGTTCATTTGTATCATTTTTTCAGATGTCACGTATAAGTGATATCATGTATTTGTCTTTGTCTGTCTGACTTACTTCACTTACTATGATAATCTCTAGATCCATCCATGTTGCTGCAAATGGCATTATTTCATTTCATTCTTTTTTATGGTTGAGTAGTATTCCATTGTGTATATAGACCACATCTCCTTTATCCAGTCATCTGTCAGTGGACATTTAGGTTGTTTTCATGTCTTGGTTACTGTCAATAGTGCTGCTTTGAGTCATCTTATTTCTTTTCTTTCTTCTTTTTCTTCTCCTCTTCCTCCTCCTCCTCCTTTTTTTCGATAGATCCTTCACAGGGAGCAAACTTCCAAGCAGAGACAAAGCCTCTTGTCAAAATGTGGCCCTCTGAAGTTTGTTGATTTTTTTTAATAGACTTTATTTTTTTAGAGAAGTTTCAGGTTCACAGCAGAACTGAGCAGAAAATACAGAGTTCACGTATAACCCTCCCCACCCACTCATATATACTCCCCTACTCTCAACATCCCTCATCAGTGTGGCATATTTAGTACAATCAGTGAACCAACATGGGCACATTATTTTCAACCAAAGTCCATA